TTACAAAATTAACCATTTTAAAATGTCTTTCAGATATTTTAAGTTGTTAATTATTATTATTTATAATACTTTTTTGGTAATATTAAAATGATATGTGTTATTTTTTCTGTCCCAATATATGTGAGTCTGATAGAATTATGAGAGTCAACCTATGTTATTATATAGCTTTTAAATATTTTAAATTGGTAATTATTGTAATTTTTAATGTTTTTTAAGTCATTTGTAAATGATATATATGTTGCTTCCTTGATTGAGACTTTTCCACTTGTGATATATATATATATATATATATATATACACATATTCTAAATTATTTTAAAAGGGAGTTTATGCCCAAGTTCTACTATATAATAAATATAATATATAATATTCAAGAAAGTCTCAATCTTGAATATTATATATTATACTTGGGCCTAAACTCTCTTTTATAATATAGTAGAATAGAAACAAGCATGCCCCTTGATTAGAATTATTCACCTTCTCTAACTTTCGTATTAAAATTATGAACATTTTTTGAATTACAAAATTTCATATCTAAAATTCTCATGAAATCGAATTAGTGAATATTGCATACGCCATATATGAGCCAAACTGAAGTTACATGATGTTTTCTTCAGAATAATCTTCCCACATTTGATACCTTTTGTAACTTAAATAGCTACATTGTTAAGTATGTCTATTTCCCTTGTGAGTTTCAACTTTTCTTGTTTATCATGCTCTAGAAGAAAATACTAATTAAATTAAGAAAAAAGAAAACCAACTTCAAATCCTAATTACAAATCTAGGATCGAATCAATCGAACTTTTAATTATATTCTTAATTATGTTGCACATATAAGAGAGTAGAATATAAATTTACTTATTTGAATATAAAAGTTATTTTCCTATTTAACTTCTATCCAAGCACGTTAAGGATTATCTGAGCCATTAGAACATAAATAGTATCAAGAAAGACAGTTTAATCTATATTTTTAGAACGAACAAAACAAAGATATTCAAAGTTTTGATGAAGTATTTCATTCATAAACCTCAATATTTGAACAAGCATATTTGGTTATCCTTGTGCATAAAAGTTGAAACTTAATATTGATGGAAGTGTAAAGACGCAAATTGAAAATGCCACTTTTGTTTGATGGGCTCTTTTAGGGATGACATGTGATAGTGGATATTGGAGTATTCATGTAGTATTTGCCTACAATTAGTACATTGGCCTTTTTAGGAATGACATGTGATAGTGGATTTTGGAGCACTCACGTAAAATATTGCCAAAAATTAATACAAAATTATGAAGCATCAAATAAAGCCTCAAGTTATTAACAAAAGAAAGAAGTTACATTACATTACAGAGAGAAGCTGAGATTATCTGTTTTTTTTTTGGGTAAATATGAGATATTATATTAACTTCATGCTGACAAGGATATATAGTTTCGGACAGAGGCGGAGCTAGGTGGGATTTGTGGGTTAAGACGAACGCAGTAGCTTTTTCGTAGACCTTATATTTGTATTAGAAAATTAAATAAAAATATATGTATATTAACTTATGAATTCCTAACAAAATTGATTGACGGTTCAGTGATAAGGAAGTAATCGTGCAAATACTTTTCACGCTAGAGTTGTGGGTTTGAACCCCTGCTCTTTTTGTAAAGGAAATTAAGAAACCCAAACTCTTAATCTTGGCTCCGCCTCTGATTTCGAGATGGACCCAGTACATAGTTAAGTGCCATTGGATGGCCTAAATTGTCAATGGCTTAAGTCATACGCAACCACTTAAAGTTGTCCGTAGATTTTACTTAGACACCTCAATTTAGCCTCGTACCTATTGAACACTTTATATATTCAAAAGTGATTCCAATTAGACACAAAACGCTGACATGACAAAAAGCGTGTACAACACCCTCCTTAAGCGTGTGGAACAATAAAAAAAAGATATTTTTTTTCTTTTTCTTTTCAACTTATACACCTAAATTAAATTAATAAATAAATAAAAATAAAAAATATAGTAATTAATTTTAAAAAAAACGTCTTCTCCCCATCTTCCTCCCTCCAATTGTTCTTCCATTTTTTTCCCTTTTATTTATTTTTTATGTAGATCTAATTAAGGTCTTAAATATTCCGATAAAGCTCCATTATTTCCAATGAAAATAATATTCCAGCAAAGTTATTGATTATTTTTTCCCAACAAAAGTTCATTATTTTTTCATGTAATTGTGATAATGATGACTAGTGAAAGAAGATGAAGACCATGAATGAAAGGTTTAATGCCATTAGAATGAAAGGTGATTGAGGGGTTAGCTTAGATGGATAGCAATGGTGTATTATTGACGCCGGTGAAAGGGATAAGATTCGATTGAGAAGAAGAAATGGGTGGAGGCTATGGTTTAGTGGCAGTTGAGGTGCATCGTCTCAATGCTTAGGAATTAAGATCCGACGACGTTGAAAATGGAAATAAGTAACGGTTAAGGTGCAGCGGCACTGTGGAATTGGAAATAAGTTCCAATGGAGAGGAAGAAGGGTGGGGTGGGGGTGGGTTAATTTAATATATATTTTTGTTTTCTTGAAGTTCGTTTTGAATTATTTAAATAGAGTTTTAAAAATATTTAATCCAATCAACATGTGTCATCATTTCATTGGTCCATTTGGTATGCATATGCGTTTGAGATGCACGCATGTTTATCTTTTGATTATTATTATTTTATGTCAAATTAAGATTTAAGTGTTCAATGGGTCAAGGCTTTATTCAGGTGTCTAAGTAAAATATGTGGACAATTTTAAGAGACTGCATATGACTTAAGCCATTGTCAATATTACATGCCTTAATTCTTCAAATAAAAATAGTTTCGAGAGTGTCTACTTGCATTACTTCAATAGCATACATTGAAGGAACTTTCAAATGCTTGTTCCTTTAAAAAAGGAAAAAAGTTCTGAAAAATACTTTAACTTTGATCGAAATTACTATTATGATACCAAACTTTATGGAGGACATTTTACCTCCTGCACTATTTAATAGTGTATTTTAAAGGTACATATGTGCCCACGTGGACAACATAAATATTGCATCATTCTAAATAGTAACATGTCCGCGTGGGCACATATATACCTTTAAAATACACTATTAAATAGTCTAGGGGTAAAAAGTCCTCCATAAAGTTTGGTATCGTAACAAAATTTTCGGCCAAAGTTGGAGTATTTTTCAGACCCTTTTCCTTTTAAAAAATGGTCACCTTGCTCCCTCCTTTGCCAGATTGTCTGCCACTTTATTCGTACACGTGCTTGATGGTTGTGATCTCTATTTCCTTCATCAAGTACCCTTTTTTTTCAATCGGTGTCCGATACCCACATTACACACTATTGAGTTAAAGTTATATGTACCTTGTTTTTATCAATGTATTTGATTAAGTGTACATGTGTCTGACAAAATATTCGCATATATCTAAATAAGAGTTCATGAATTTGAGTTAAAGAATTTTAACTTTACTTAATCCCCCAAAAGAAAGAAGATGAATGCTTTTAATTGTTTTGATTCTTTTAGGAGTTGTGATATGCCATATCCTCTCAAGTTATTTAAGCGTGATTTTCTCTTAATTAATGACTTTCAATTATATCCCTTAATTAGATACACTAATTGATATGCATCTGCCTTACATGTAGAGCTGTCAAAATAGGCTAGTCCAACCTAACCCAACCCTAACGGGCTAGAGAGTTAAATGGGTTGGGACGGGCTGACCCTTTTAATTAAAGGGCCTATAAAATAGGAGCTCAACCCATCCCTAAGCGGGCCACGAGTTGGGATGGGTTGGCCCTTCAACAAAAAATGGACAACATTTCCCTCTTAGAAAGAGTACGAACGTTATTGTCTGATGAACACGACATCAATACATACAGAAATTCATTCATGAATTACACATACTTCAGTGAATATTTATAAAACAAAAACATAATAGCCAAGATACAACATTCATAAGATTCATCCGAGTAAAAAAAACATTACATGATCATTATTTTCATAAACAAGACAATAAAGAAGAAGTGGAAAATTACGCATAAAAGTAAAAGTAAAAGAGGTCAAAGATTCATAGTTATAATGGAGTAATGGACCAATGGTAATGAGAAAATTTAGTGGGTTAATGACTCTAAAATGTAAAAGATATGTAAAGAAGTTAGTCTTGATTTTATATTGATATTTTAAAAATATTTATTAACAAATAAAACACTACTTAATATATATATATAATAAAGGACAAATTACTTCAGTACACTCATTTACTTACCTTAATATCCATTTATCCCTACTTGTTTCAAAAATTTCAAAAATTTCAAAAATTTCAAAAATCCCTTATTTACCTATGTATCCCGCTATGTGGAATGTATCAAACGCTATGTATCCCGTGCACAATGTTATGTATCCCGCATATATCCCGTGCACAACGCTATGTATCCCGCTATGTGAAATGTATCAAACCTAATGTATCCCGTGCATAACACTATGTATCCCGCAAACATTTTTTTTAAGGGATTTTTGGTAAATAGAAAACTAGAAGGGATATGATGTTATTTAGTACTTATAATATGTGGTTCCTATAATTTATACTATAATAAATATTTTTAAAATTAACAGCCCACGGGCTGGCCTCTGAGGCTTACGGGTTGGGCCTACGAGGCCAGCGAGCCAAATGAGGCTGGGCTAAAAAACCTCATTCTTAAATGGGTTGAAAAAATTAAGCCCAATCCCATTTAATTCAAGGGTTGGGTTTTGCCTGCCTAGCGGGCCAAACCCATTTTGACAGCTCTACTTACATGTATTTAGAGGTAAGGAATGTAATATTGTAAACTATCGTGAATCTAAATAATTAGCTCATAAAGTAGTAAGATTTGTATATGTTCCCTTCATGTAAATAAGGTTTAGTACTGGGCCGAGTAAATGTGGGCCGGATCAAACATGATGCTTTTATGGTTAGCTTTATTTAAACGCCCTCCTTTTTCCTACAACCTTTTTCACTACTTTTGACGACCTTCTTTCCCTCTTCTAACTTCAGCTCACATTGCCCCAATCCCATAGTAATAATTCTTAAACATGGCGTCGTCGCACACCCTCTCCTCCTCCATGGAAGCAGCCATCTCAAGCTCCAACCGTGTCTCCAGGTTTTCAGAAACCCCTCCAGTATTTCAATCCATCAATCCATCTAACAGGCGCAGTATTTGTTATCCAAAAATTAGTTTTAGCCCGCCTTCTACTTGCTCTTTTGGCGGCGGCTGCTCTCCCCGTCTGGTGGTTAGCCGTGCTGAACTCTCGGGTGAAAGCGGTTGCGAAGAAGAGGATATTAATGGGTTGAAGAATGATAATGCGTTTGGCTTAGTTCCTGAATCAACTTTTTCGTTGTCCCAGGTAAAACCTCTTCCCCTGATAATCATAGAAACAAGAAATCTCAGATCAATTTATGAAATTCATGAAATTAGCTAGTTCCACTTGTGGGATTACACTGGTATGTTGATGATGAAATTAGCTTGCCAATATCTATTATTGTTGGCCCTTAGGAATACTTCAACTTGATATTCCCAAAGTATCTTTAGGTATGACTTGAAAGACATATTCGAATCTTGTTTGGATAGTTGATACACTTAGTTTCATAATGTATTATACTTTATTGTTTTGCTGAATACAATGTTTAGATAAATTACATGCGACACACATAACAATGTGAAGAATAAACTTAAGTTAAAATATAGGGAAAAGGGTCAAAAATACCCCTCAACTTTGGTTTATTAGTTGATTATACCCCTGCCGTTAAAACAAAGTTATTTATGCCCTTGTCGTTACCAATTTCACCATTTATACCCCTCAATTGACGAAAATCCCCCAATTGACTCAAATTAACCAATTTTACTTAAATTACCCAATTCTAACCCGATCAGACCCGACCCGAACCACCAAATAATATAAACCCATTTTTGTTCATCTTCATTTCTGTTAATCTTCAACTTTAAAATTAATAAAAAAAAAAAGTCCAACATAATAACAAATTAACAAGCAAAAGCTGTAACAGTGCCCAAAAATACAATAATATCAAACCAAAAATTAAATAATCAACAACAAAGTGTAATAGCATACACAAACTTGAACAACAAATATGAATGAAAAGTTATTGGAGCTTGAACTCCCTAACCAAATCTGAAACACAGAGAATAGAGTGAAAAATGTAAAAAATAAATAAATCATCATAAACTATAAGAATGGAAAGAAAATAGAGGGTCACCGGAAAATGAGGGTGAAGCTCGGTTGTGGAGCTGTGTTGGTGTTGTTAACTGATTCGAGAAATGGGTTTGCTGATTTTGGCGTTGTGAGAGAGGTTGTGGTGGCTGCTGATTTGCAGAGCCTCGCCGGAGTTCATGGTCATTGTTCACCGGAGTTGGAGCCAAAAACACATATACAATAGAAGAAAACGTAAAAGGGGAAAAGGGAGGGGACTGGCGGCGTTCGCTCTTCGCTGGAGTCCGTGGATGGAGCAGGTGGTTTTTACTAATTGTTTGATGGGTGTTTTCAAATGTATTGTTTACAAGTTGTTTTTGAAAAGGAGTCCAACATTAAAGATGAAGATGAACAAGATAGAACAAAAATGGGTTATATTATTTGGTGGTTTGGGTCGGGTCGGATCGTGTTAGAATTGGGTAATTTAAGTAAAATTGGTTAATTTGAGTCAATTTGCGGATTTTCGTCAATAGAGGGTATAAATGGTGAAATTGGTAACGGCAAGGGCATAAATAACTTTGTTTTAACGGCAGGGGTATAGTCAACTAATAAGCCAAAGTTGAGGGGTATTTTTGACCCTTTTCCCTAAAATATAAATAAAAGGTACCAATGTGAAGAGTAAACTTAAGTTAATATAACTAAATGGTTGAGTAAAGGATAAAATATGGTTGCCAATTAGGGATGGCAATGGGGTGGGATGCGGGGCGGGTTGAAGTCTTTTTTTTAAAAACTAATGCGGTGCGGGGTACATGTGATTTTATGTGGGTTCAAACTTAATTTTAACTTTTTACATGTTATATGATTGATAGAGCATTAATTATTAAGATAATTTCTTTTAAGCTAATAAAATATTCAAGATAGTAATAAAAATTGTTCAATAAAAAATAATACAATCTCTTACATGTTTCCCAATTGACCTCTAAAAAATAAAATTCTAAGTCACTATTCTATTAAATTAATACAACTTAATGAAAATATGAATTTATTTTTAGTATCAAACTTAACTAGAAAAAGAAAATATTAAAAAATTTATGCAGGGTGGGGGCGGGTTGAAAATAAAAAATGTTGTAATGCGAAGCGGGGCGGATTAAAAATTTTGTGTGTTAAGCTCAACCCGCTCCGCCCCATTGCCAATGATAAGCGAAGTCTATACTATTAAACATTACAAATAATTTAGATCTTTAAATAGAACTGCAACTGCAGTAAATTAAGTTTTTTACAATAATATTCAAGGTAATATATTGCGAACACATGACTAACATCTTAGTAATTTGAATTAACTCTTATCATACAGTACTCTGTGAAGTTAAATACTTAATGTTTTTTTAAGAATACTACATTATATAAGAATACTAACTTATAAATCATGGATAATGAAAAAACTTTTTTTAAGAATACTACATTATATAAGAATACTAACTTATAAATCATGGATAATGAAAAAACTTCTTACTAAAATTTGAGTTTAGGCAACTAATTTTAATGAAACACTCTTGTATTTACAAATGTATTGTGTGGTGAAATGTTTTATGAATTGGTTTTTTGATAAAAAAATGTAGACCTGAACATATAAAAGATTAAGTTCAATAATGTTGAAGAATCTTTTTTTTTTCTTTTGACATGATGAATTATACTTCTCTTTTCTTAATATAGTCCATTACTCGTAATGCTAAATGGCTACTTCAACTTTGTTGTGATGGACTCTCTCATATTATGAAGGATAATTCAGATAAACAAGAAATAAACAGAAATGATTCGAATCAAGCTTCAAAAGTGGTTTCACCCCTTGAGCACTCAACTAGTGGCGGTACAAGGGCTGGGCTTTTCAGAACTCCCATTTCTGGAGGGGTACAAAGTGCAACCTCAGCTCATGGCCTACCTAAACCTGCCTTAGCTGTCCGCAATCTAATGGAGCAGGTAGATTCCTTGTGCTATTATATATTTGTAGTTTTTCAGATATTTGTAAAAATAACATCTTGTTGTGTGTTTTCATTGTTAATATTGCAGGCAAGATTTGCTCATTTATGCACTGTGATGTCGCGGATGCATCATCGACGAGAAGGCTACCCATTTGGAACACTTGTAGATTTTGCGCCAGATTCTATGGGGCGTAAGTTGCTACTCTATTGTCCTCACAATTTTTTTTAAACCCATCTTTTGGGTTTTTTTACAATTGAGTCTAGAAAAATTAGAATATAAAGTGTGTCCTAGCCTTGGTGGACAAAGTTACATGGCACCTATTGCTGGTGGGAGGTGGTAGGTATCCTGTGGAATTAGTTGAGGTGCACGAAAGTTGTTCCGGACACCACGGTCATTAAAAAATAATGATAATTAGAATATGAAATCGAGCTCAAACTCTATTTTGAGTATATTGATTCTCAATAAGTGTAGGCCACTTTGATCCATGTGAATTTTGTAAAAGGGATCATTTTGGTCTTGGTTAAAGTTCTTATTTGTTGGCAATTTTGAGCATGATCTTGAATTAACTCATCTTAATGCATTGAGTTACCTTGTTGGTTGTGGTACCAAAGTGGTGAAGACTAAGAAACTTGTCTAGACCTACCAGGAAATTGTTAGGTACATTATTGGTAAATATTCTTGAACTAAATTGAGTTTTCAGCATTGATGCAACAGACCATTGTATAAGAAATTGAACATGTAATACATTTATTTAATTATTAAAAGTTCTTGTAAAAATGTTGTTCTTGATTTGATGTTTAATGAAGCAAATCTTCGTAAGTAGACAAAATAATCTATATGCCTCTTTTCCTATTTTTATTACATACAATGTCCCATTAATTATTTCTCATTCTTTTGCCAGATCCTATATTTTCGTTCTCGCCATTAGCTATACACACCCGTAATTTGCTAGCTGACCCGAGATGCACATTGGTTGTACAGGTTTGTGATATATTTCAGCAAACATCAAGTACATTTGGCTTATATAATTTTTTGAGAATGAAACATTTGGCTTATGTTATGTCTCTGAGTTTCTTGCACTTTTGGTTGTTTAGATTCCAGGATGGAGTGGTTTATCTAATGCAAGGGTCACGATATTTGGTGATGTCTATCCACTACCTGAAGATCAACAGGTAGCTGTCTTATTCAACACGTAGCGATCAATTTGAGATTACTGTTAACATCAAATATTTACCTTTAGAATAAGACACTTAAGAAACTTCTTAGCCATCTCTATTGTCTCCTCAAAAATGATATAATTTCGCTTGCTTAAATTCTCACGTACACCAGATGTATCTGGTCTTTCTTAACTGTCTCTTACGTTTTGTTTTTTAAAAACTGTATGTTACTGTCCACCATCAACCGTAGTATTCTTTATCAGTTGACATATGAAAAGGAATTAATTTTTCCGTCAGATCCTAGGGGCCTCACGATTTCTCTCCTGTTTTACTCTTTACACTTGTTAAGTGGAAGTTATGGTTTACTTGATACACTTTGAAGAAGGAACTGGTATGGGTTGGACCTCCTAGGCGTCATATCAAATTTATTTCAGTGGAGTCTTTTTGATGGAATCCTTTGCCTGATTTTTCAGTTTCTTCAACTAGGGGTCCTATTTCATTATTTACTAGGTGAAAAACAGTTGACACGTAGGAGGAGGGACATCTTTTTATTATTATGATCAACTACTTTTGTTTTCTTCAATAATATATCCCAAGTTGAATACTTGTGTTTGATTTTTATATTCATAGTAAGATAACAGTTGAGTATTGGTATTGTACAAAGATGTAGAAGTTCACATGCAAAGTCCATAGGTTCTATTTGTATTTTTTTTGAAATTGCAAAGCCATAGGTTCTTTTTAAGACTTTCTTGGAATAGATAAAAAAATAGCACAGTGAAGTGTATTAATGGAGCTTGTAAAGACAACCTATGTAACTTCTGGTTTAAAATATTTTTAGCACTGTCCATTCCGGGGAACCGTACATTATCTTGGAATGGACGAAGAAGTGAAGGTGAACATTTATTTTCTGCATGGTGTATAAAGTGTCTTCTGCCTAGATCGATTTTCTTATGTTTCCCTTTCACGACCTTCTGTCTTCTTTGGAATCATATCTTAATGTAGATTCTATATTTTCCATTAAAATATAACTAAACTTACTTCTTTACCTCCACGAGGTAGAGGTAAGGTTTTGCATACACTCTACTCTTCCCAGACCCCACTTTGTGGGATTTCATCGGGTATATTGTTGTTGTTTTTGTAATATAACTTAACTTTACTCGATATTAAAAAACAACTCACTTTTTTTATTTTCACCCTGAGAAAACTGTTTGGAGCCAACCTTTGAAAACTTGGAGATGATGGGTCCGCCCCCATAAAAGAACCTAAAAAGAAAAAGATTTGCTGCCCTGTCAGCTTTGATCCTGCAATCTGCTTTCAAATGCCACTTGTAGAATTTTGTAATTTTTATGTTGAATACTAAACCTTTAATTGCCATTATTTTCTGTTGGTTGAGCCAAGTTATTAGAATTATCTCTAAATGGTATGAATGTTGCAGTTTTCTTAACAACTGTATCGATTGTTTCAATAGGAATGGGCACACAAGCAGTATATAGCAAAACATCAGCAAGGTCCTTCTCAACAATGGGGAAACTTTTTTTACTTTAGGATGCAAAATATAAGGTCAACTCTTTTTCTTCCAAGTAATAATTCTGCTGGGTTCGTGTTTCATATGAAAATGAAAGGAGTATACAAATTATTATATGCGTTCTCTCTCTGATCTATTTACATCATCAGTCTCTTCAGAATTTTTGACTTGGATTTATCTTTTCACTCTGTGCATTCTGGCCTCTGGCTGTCTGACAAATGCCTTTTTACTATTAACCTGTGCACCTTATATTCCAAATTTACTAGTTGATTTTCATTATAAGCATTTTATTCTTCTGCTACCTGTTTTCATTATAAGCAGTTCGGTACGACTTCTCTTGCTGCCAACTTCTTTCTACAGTAGTAAACTTGGAGTTCCACTCTGGAATCTGAATATGTAAATGTTGAGAAACAGAAAGAGGATAGATCATGTGTCCATTATAATTGCTTAAACAAAGCAGGCTCCTATTTAATTACTTTATCAAAAAAATAAAATTGCTTAAACAAAGCAGGCTCCTTTCTGCCAGGAGTCTCTTGCATCTCGCTTCTAAGTTTTTGTGCTCTGCTGCCAGTACTTATATTTTATGATTTTGTATTTGCAGAGTGGATTCTGCTTGCTTAAGCATCCTCTGTACTTAGTACATCTTTTAGCTCAAGCATGTGAAACATTCCTTTTGCTGTGCTGTTCCTTCCACAGCACCTACTTTCTCTGCTATTGTGCATATATATAAGACACCTCTGGATTATTTAAAATTTTCCGGTGGGCAGAATTGTTTATGAAAAGATTCATAAGGAGCAGCAGAGGGGCATGTCTAAAGCCTCTTATAGAATTTGGAACACCATCCCCTACCGTCACTGGTGGGTTTTCTGGAAGGAGAGAAATGCTAGAGTTTTTTTTAAGTCAGAAAGGATGATATGGCTAATCTTCAAAACAAATGTATATTTTTGCTAAATTATTGGTGCAAGATCAGCTTGGTCAATGTTTTAGAGCCGGAAGCCATGTGTCTATTTTCTCTGTTCTTTACCCTCTTTGTGAAGTTCTCTCTTTTTGGCTGGATTTTCACCCACTTTTCTGCTAACATGAATCAATAGAACTCTTACGTTACCTATCAAATAATAACAACAGCAACAATAAGAATAGTAATCATAATAGTAATAATAGTAATGCTGGAGGTTATCTACTTTTTGATTCTGTGTGCGTACCACTAGTGTTTTACCATTTATGATGAGTCATAATTGGTTGTTTGATTGAACACAACATGACCAATGTATCTACCATGTTCTAAGTTTGAATTTGAAAAGATCCATCTACCACTTTCTGTGAATGGTTTATTTGAAAGGAAGAAACAAAAGGCAAGCTCTCATTGCAGATTGTTGCGTAGAGAATAATTAGCAATGTATAGCTCAAAGAACTTACTTGCTTTATCAATTATAACAGCGATATATATTTCATTGGAGGCTTTGGAACTGTTGCTTGGGTGGATGTCAAGGAGTATGAGTCACTTCATCCTGATAAAATTGCTGTTGATGGTGGTGAACAATATCTTAAGGTACGTTTTTGATTGTTTGAGGAATTGATAATCACTGAATGACTTGATTAATGTGCCCATGCTACTATATATTTGTAGTACTATTAGAACTTTGAAGTACGTGAATATGTAGATTGTATTTGCCATTCTAGGTTTGATACGAGGCTTCATTTTTCCTCCTTCCCTTTTTTCGAGGCTTCGACTAAGCTCGTGAATGTTTTTGGTGATTCTTATAGGAGCTCAATGCAATATTTTCAAAGCCTCTAAAAGATCTTTTAGCACAAGAAAGTGAGGTGGATGATGCCGCTTTGATCTCAATAGATAGCAAGGGGACAGATATTCGTGTCCGTCAAGGGGCACAGGTACTTTCTATGTGCTGCTTCTTTAAGTCATTTGTTTTCACATCACACCCTTTAAACTTTTCTTTTTACTTTACTTCCTGCAGTTCAATGTACAAAGAATATCATTTGAAGAAGGCCATTCAGTTGAAACACTAGAAGAAGCCAAAGCAGCACTCTGGAAATTGATAAATGGAGGCCGACTTCACAATTTGCAGAAATGAAGATTGCAAAATGCTATCTATTTAACTTAAGGAGTCGAAATGATCAGTGGAATAGCCTGTGTAAGGTTGGCGGTTATGGTATTACAAGAATCAGTTTTGTCACCTTTTTTTTTGCGGAAGTATTAGCTTATAGCCTTATAGAGGGTTAATGGTTGTGGGTGTGCTGAGTTCTTCAGAAAACTGACTTCTACCGACCTAAATTTGCAATGTAAGGTTGGTGATGGTGTTTCAAGAATGTTCTCATCACATTTTCTGTGCTATAGTATGAACTTGTAGCAATTCAAGATTGTTCTCATCCTTTTTTGGGGTGTTTGTGGGCTCTGGTGGTTGCATGGGCGTTTTCAAACATATTCTAATTTCCATATAGTAAACTTAAGATTTGTTGTCTGGTCCTTCCCTGCACCTCCACATAGCGAGAGCTTAGTACATTGTGCTACCTTTCTTTATACGTAACATTTGTACTGTTAGTGTAGACTGTTAATTGAAATGCATTTTCTGCAACTAGAAGTGACCGACTCTTTTAATTTTTTTGTGATCTTTTATTTTATTGTTTCATCTGGTAAGGACAAGTAGCGTGATAGATTATCTCAGCAATTATTCATATGAAGCTATTGACCAAACTGAGAAGGGACTGTTGATGCAATTATTTTTGTTTCCACTATGGGTTATTGAAAAAGGGTACAATCCATCATATTCAACTATCCCACCTCACTTCTGGAGAGACTTGAAAGAGTTGTACCTAGGGCCTAGGGGCCAGGGGTTATGTTTGACAGGACTGAAAATTTCCTAGAAGGAATTTGTGGACATAGTTAGTACTTTGATGGTATATGTACTAGCGTGAGATATCTGGTACCTTGTGAAATTAATCGAGGTGTGCATAAGTTGATTTAGGCACGATAGTTATAAAAAAATCTCTAAAAATAAAATGCATTAGAGAAATTTTTGGCGTTTGATGAGTTGAAAATGACTTCTATTTTCTGAAATCTTTTGTACGAAACACTCCATGCCATGTGGATACTTACCACGTGAATCAACTAGCAAGATGATGAAGTTATCTTAAGATATGAGATTATCCCCCACAACATTTAGAGGGTGTTTGGATTGGCTTAACAATGGGTCAAATCTATTTTTAAGTCAGTTTTTGACTTCTGAAAGTGTTTGACAAATATAAAAATAATAACTTAAAATAAGTCAAAAATGACTTTAAAATAAGTTGAAAAGTGTTTGGCAAGGTCAATAATGACTTAAAATAAGTCAAAAATCAAAAGTAGATCTCTCCCTACTTTTTATTTTTTGACTTAAAAATTATTTCAGCTTGACTTTTTATTTTTGACTTAAAAACTACTTATCTCAGTTTGGAGTTAAACCTCTAATACTGGAAATTACACCTAATGACCTTAAAAATGATGAAAATGAGTGATTTTGAATTCTTGACTCCAGTTTACTCCACAAAATTTTATCCATGAAGCACATAGGATTTACCAATTCAAGACCAGTCATCTCCAAGGCTATTCTTGTAAATCGCCTCGTTAGTAGGGAGTCAAGAGACAAAGTTAGAAATCAAGACCATTTTTTGTAAATCTCCTCCTTAATAGATAATCAAGAAGCAAAATTAGAAATTTAACCTTTTGGGTTCTGAATTTCGTAACAATGATTTCAAGTGTAAATAATTAAGTTCTAAACTTAATGACATATGTAATGAACTTCTTATTTAAACAAAAGTTACTAGATTTGATCTAATGCATACTCGAGCTTCTACCTCTATCTCTAGAAGGCCAATGAGTGATTTACTCATGGAAAAGATTTGCCTAGTGATTATCCAACTTTGACTTAGTAAAACTAAAGCAAAGTGTTAGATTAAAATGTAGAATTATTTAAGATAGTGACTATGGACTTCATTTGATTTGTGAACAATTTACACAAGGCCCACCTCCCTTCCCTATTGGACTGCCTAGTACCAAGATGATGAGGATGAAACTGATTTTTCTAGCAAAACACAAAATGACAAAGTATCCTCACTGACTCTTTTTGTCCTAGTCTCAGCTAAACAAACAAACAAACAATCCAAAAAAAGAAAACGTTACTGCTTATGCTCCGTCTCCAGTGCAGTGAAAATGGTAAGAATTAGGTGAAACTTACAAATTTGAAAAATAACTATTTTTAAATGCAAAAATAAAATTTGGAGAAACATACCCCTATTTAAAACACATGGAAGAACTTGCAGAAGTTTGAATCACATAAATCATTTTTTAGTTTTCAACTTATAAAGATTTTCAGCCCATGAAATGTTCGTTTCGAACTTAAATAAATTTGAATCGTTCCTACTTCCTTGGATTCCACTTACTAATTCTTCAAATTTCAGCATCATTTGTTGGAGTTGTTCTGATTTTTGTTGGTGTGAAAAAAGCCAACTATTAAAATTTTATACTTTTTTCTAAAGTCGAACTTCGAAAAACATATTTGGCCTAAAATTTTGAATTTCAATGTTTCAATAATAAGGAAAAAAAATCACCTTTTTATTCCAAATTATTCACTAAAGGTAAAAAAAAAAAAAAAACTCCAATCTGTATTGTTGTTGGCCAAATACAAAATATCATTTTTCATTTTGAAAATAAAAACTTATTCTTTTTGAATTTCACCTTCATCCCAATTTATGTGCACATTTCATTTTCCCTGATCAATTTTCCGTAAAAATGAGAAGTGAATAATGTTAAAAACAGAAATGTACCCACCACCCAACAAGGTAAAAACCAGAGCCAAAGCCAAAATCCCCAACAATCAGCGGCAGCAGCGTGTGCTCTCCACTCTCAAGTCTCAACTCAACTCTCAATTCTCAATTCTCAATTCTCAACTCCCATGGCTACAAGCAGCAGCTGCAGTTCCCCTTATACCAACGGATCATCTCCAATAACGACAATAGCTCAAGACCATCTCTTCTCCATCTTACTCCTCTTACCTTTGGACTCCATTTTTTGCTTTGCTCTAACTTGTAAGAAGTTCAGGTCCCTCACTTACTCAGACTCTTTATGGGAATCACTCTGCCGAAGAGATTGGGGAAACTCCACCATTGATGCACTCAGATCCTTTGCTGTTGACGGTAAACAACAACAATTTCCTTGGAAGAAGCTCTACCAGCAAATCTACCAATTGGACTCTGTTTACTGTCGCAGACTGTTGACGCATCCACAAGGAGGAGAAGAGCTGCTTCTTCCTCGACCTAGAGCTTCTCATTCTCTCAATTTTGTTTCTGGTTGTCTTGTTCTCTTCGGCGGCGGCTGCGACGGAGGTCAGTCTCTATTCCACATCTCTTCAACTTAAATAGATTTTCTCGACTAAACCTTTTACAGCCCCCATTCCTTTTTGCTCATTTGGTGACTCGAACCCACTATCTTAGTGTTGGAGGTAGAGGGTGCTTGTGTATGCTCATTGATCTATCTAATGCATTTGCAAGGATTTCGGTTGCTCTCAAATTATGAGACATGCTAGTCAGCAGTTTTGGAGCCAGAATTTTCAGTAAAGGATTCAAATTATAAGTAAGTAAACCCACAAAGAAGCCAATTGGGATTCAACACCTACCGTATATATAAAGAAAATAATCTTAACCTTGTGTTGGTGTAATATACCACATATACTATAAATTACCCTTGAAATAAAAGACTTGCTCTCTTTGAAGAGATTCAAGCCTACTGCGACATAATCTACACCAATCCAGCAGTATCACACTTGACTTGTCCCCTCCAAGATACAACAATACAACAACGTTGTACAACTCAAACAACTCCGGATTAGTTGAAGAGTTCAAAGCTCCACATAAAGAACACCTTCTTCAACATATAGTCTATAGGTTACAAGAATAAAGATGGAATAATGGGTGAAATAAAGAGTTGGTGGTTGCATAAGTTACTAACAACTAATGACTACTTTCTTCCACAAGAGTAAAGAGATATTTGTCCACCAATGGACATAACATGATACATAATGTGACATATGATGTATTTTTATTAATATTCAAGTGTCACACTAACACCTTGTACATATATATATATATATTATATTTTTTTCGCCAAAGGGGTTTGGATGAACCCTTATGCACACTTGGCTCCGCTCCTGGATTTAGGAGTAGCAAAAAGAGAATTTCCTTGTTTCACTTGACCTCTCATTACTGAAAAAAGAAGATATAGAAAGGGGATAAAGATAACTGAACCATTACGTGAAAAGGGGTGCTAGAATCTTTTGGTACATTTGCTTGACTCAGTTTCCAAGCATGACTTTTGCTTGTGCCCATGGTCTTATTGATTAATGCTCAGAAGGATATACTTGCCCTTTGTGTCCTGTTAATCCCTCATTAGTCATAACTGTTCTTGTTTTCTTTTATTGTGATCTAGAAAGGTACTTATCTCTTGATTAGTCGAATCAAGTTTTTTTCTCTCATTTCGGTTCTTCATAGGGTGTTCCATTTGGGACAAAAACAGGATGCTGCTGACGATTATCATGGAGCTTTTCTTGTATTGCTAGTAGCTATCTGCTTCTTACATTAGTGGAGCTAAGATCTTTGTATTTACTTAGGTTTTTGGATAAAATGGGCAGCATAATCTTGTTTGGCTATTTAATGGACCTAGTTGAATGAAATTCATGCGGTCAGTGTCTTCAGTTTACTTTACACATGAAGCACCACATGCAAATTTCTGAGAAGAATTGTTGATTTTATCTGTCTTGGGATGGATGTGTAAGTTCTGCTGTATTTTTCCTAATTAAAAGCTGCTATGATGAACTTCAATTTACCGAGATAACATTTGGAAATTTACAAAAGAGTTAGCTAAAAGGTAGAAATCAATGAAAGTTATACATGCAACACAGTACTCAAGATTTCTTTCACGACCTCACATGGCACAAACATTCTAATTAATCATTATCATACCAAATTAGATATTTTGTTGGTAATGGGATAGACAAGTAAGAAAAGGAGGGAAAGGGCATCGAACTCTGCTCACTCAATATATGATCGTCTCACGAAGAACCATCTGGTCACACTCTGACATTCTCTCAACCTGATGATTGACACTTGTAACTTTCAGTAATTTGGTCTTTTTAAACTCAGAACAATTTTATGCCCCCAGGGGCTTAGTTCAAGTGGCATGAGGTACGTGTGACTTAGATCAAAAGCTTGAGCCTAAGCCTGACATTTAAGTGAAGAAGGATAGAGGGATAGATCCATTATCCCCAGTTCCAAAAGCTATCATTGGTACTAAAGGTTGGCCCTAGACAGATTTCTCAGTCACAAAAAAAGGACAAAAAACTTTGAATAGCATACGTCCTATAAGATTGCGTCTGTAGATTATTATTGGAATGTATGCTGTAATTTGCGATCTGATGTTTGCTAAATTTATCGATAACCAGTAATATTTCTTCCTAAAGTGGTGTTATCTGTGCTGTACTTTAGGAAGGCATCTGGACGATACATGGGTAGCATACGCTGGCAATGACTTCAAGAGAATATTGGAATGGAATAAGATTGAATCAGGGGTACCAAGTGGCCGCTTTGGGCATTCATGTGTCGTGATTGGCGATTATCTAGTGCTTTTTGGAGGAATAAATGATCATGGGGCCCGCCAAAATGATACATGGATTGGCCAAGTAGCGGTACACGATGCATTTGGTATCACATTATCCTGGAGACTACTTGATGTCGGTTCCATTGTGCCTCCACCAAGAGGCGCTCATGCTGCATGTAGCATGGATAAAAGGAGGATGCTGATTCATGGAGGGATTGGTCTGTCTGGCTTGCGATTGGGAGATACATGGGTATTGGAACTGTCCGAGAATCTTCATCTTGGAGTTTGGCAAGAAATTGTGACTCATCCATCTCCTCCATCTCGCTCTGGACATACATTGACTCCTGTTGGAGGAAACCAAACAATTTTGTTTGGTGGGAGGGGTTTAGGCTATGAGGTGCTTAATGATGTATGGCTGTTTGATACATCTGATGGTCACTGGAGATGGGTACAGTTACTATTTGACTTGCAAAATATACCCCAAGGATTGACCCTGCCAAGAGTTGGTCACTCGGCTAATCTCATCATAGGTGGACGATTGCTAATTTATGGAGGAGAAGATTCCTACAGACACAGGAAAAATGACTTCTGGGTGTTGGATATCAGCTCAGTGACGTCCATTATGCAGTCTGGGTCTCCTCCAAGCCCGGATAGATCAATGACCAAGTTGTGGAGACGGCTCAAGTCCAAAGGTGACAACCCTTGTGGCAGATCATTTCACCGAGCTTGTGTGGATCCTTCAGGTCGTAATTTATACATCTTCGGTGGCATGATAGATGGTTTACTTAATCCTGCTGAATCCTCTGTGTTGAGGTTTGACGGGGAGTTGTTTCTTGTGGAGCTTTTGCTTCAGTGCTAGTGAATTGGAAGGAGATTATTGGAAAATTAAGTATGTGGTGATCCCAAAATGCTGCTGTTTTACATGGCAATGAATGTAGTGTAAATATCAGTCCTACCAGTGAGAAGTAAGTTAGCAGCTAGTGGGGTGCTTTGTATAGTAAAAGATCTAAGGTGGTATTGTAATTTGGTTTAAGCATTGCATCTGAAGAATTGTTAAGGTATGTTTCTGCTCTTGTAGAGGAAGCTAGTGTCAACCAAGACATCAAGTGATGCACGATACCAGCCCCGAGCTTTTCACGATCCAGGAAAGCCCTCTACAAAGTACCTGTAAATTTCTAGTTCAGGACTGAAATTTAGTCTTTTAGACCAGATTTAGCTTCACATATGATTAGTTCTGAATTTTGATGTATTGTGTACATTCTTGATCTTTATTGGCTAGTATTGTACTATTGCTGCTATACTTTTTTTTGACCCCTCCTGGGAGCTCCCACCCCTTTTGCTCTTTTGGTGACTCAAACTCACAACCTTCGAGTTGGAAGTGAGGAGTGTTTATCATCCAAGCAACTCCCTCTCGTCATTGTTGTTATACTTGAGTCATGACCCCTCCTCTTACCTTTAATTTCACTCTTTAATTATACTAATTCGGACCTTACAGTTACAGCAACAAAGGGGAAGAAAATAAGGGAAACTGAACTAAATCGAATCAAGACTCTTGAAATTTTAAGATTATTGAATGTATTTAAATTTTTAATATGAGAACAACTGAAGTCTCTTGTTCAATGAACTTTAGTACTATTGGATTTATTTATTTTTAGAAAATAAAAGGAAACATAATAAACTGTCCATGCCTTTTGATGTCTGCCCTAATATGCCATGTTGCAACACGCATATCAACTTTTAACGGTGTGTGTGGATATAGCATACATGACCGAATTTGCAAAACCATAAAACACACATTCAACTAATTTGACCATGCCTTTTTGAAATCGATGATTTGGTTACTATAATAAATGATAATAATTTCGGCACCAAAAGTGTCGCTTAGGTGATTTCTTTCGTTTGTCTAAGCAACAAAGTTATCTGATACTTATGTTTGAGAAAACAAATAAACTGATTGGACACCGCAATTATAAAAACAAAAATAAATATAAGATTATTTATCTTGTATTTGGTTAAATTTTTTGTTTTAATATAAGTAATTCTGAAATTCTCTATACTACAATTCTGTAATTTTGTACCCATTCAACGTAAAATAACAATCATCAAATAAAACAATAAAATGATAAAGATGTTCTCAAAGCTCTTCATCCAAAGTCTTTTTTTAAAAAAAAAGTTAAAAGATTAAAATTTGAAAACAAAAGTTTCATCTAATTCTTCCTTGTGTAAACTAAATACACAATTCATAATATATACACAATTCATACATTTTGTATGGCTCAGTTTTAGTCCAATAAATCAAACATCTATTGGTAACAATATATTTACTAAATAATCCTGTCATTATCTAATCACCATATAAAATCCACATATTATAATCTAGTATTTCCGTCATTTTAATTTAGTTGATACATTTTTTTAATATACTTTAAAAAAACACGCTTTTTCATTTGAAAATAATTAACTCTTACCATTTTTATTCTCTCAATGAGAGGTTTATATATAGTTTTATACGTTTCAAAATATTATAACCATAATAATTTGAAATGTTTTTTAAGAAATATTTCTTTCCAAAATTTCATGTCTATTTCAACAATATCACATAAATCGAAACAGGGCCGCGAAAGAACTAACAACTCCTCACGGAGACAACTTCCAAAAGATATTTCTGACGCGGAAAAAAGGAAGAAAGAAAATCCTCGAGTGCCACACGACAGCCCAATACTATGCCAAGTGGTAGCTCAAGAGCATCCACGTATGGTGTGCCATAGAGATGGTGAAAACGTGTCAACCAACAAAAAAAATAGCAATTTGGGTGAAGCCCGAAACAGCTGTATAATTAGCACTATTACTAATCATGTTATTATAATTTGTGATCTATCCATTGCCACTTTGACTCATTTGGCATTAACAACATGAAGAATTATCTTCAACTTGGGAGCTACTACTACTTGTTCCTTCTCTTATTGTTGTTTACCATATCCTTCCACTATCCTATTGGCAGTGCTGGAGATGGACAAGAAGAAGAGCAGCAGATTCAAGAACAACTCTATGTGAAGAGTAAGACTCCTATTATAGAGACTGTCAAGAAAATGTTTTCCTTCCCCACTTCTTTTCCTCAAACTTCAGCCAATTATTGGAGCAGATTCGAATCACTAATCAAACAAGGCAAGGCCTACTTCTCCCCTCCAACTCTAGAGTAAGTCAGGTTATAGTTTCCACCAAAATCTTGTACTATAAATGACTTCATTTCCATTTTAGAATTTGTTTGTGATTGATTGTGAGCTAAATCCGCAGTTTCAGAGATAGCCAGGAAGCACATGCCAGGGCTGAAGGGGGAGCAGCACCAGGTGAAAAGGTGAAAGAAGCAGTACTGAAAAGCCTTGACAAGAGTAAAGCGGCCTTAGAAGAATCCGCCAAATCAGCAGCAAAATTAGCAGGGGAAGCAGTGCAGAAGACTGCGAAGAAGATGAAAAGAACATTTTCTTTTGAAGATAGAGACCCTGGACACGATGCGGATGAGCTGTAAAACTTTTTTTTTTTTTGGTAAAATAAATGTGAATAATTAGCACCTTGGAAGTTTAGCTTAGTTTCATAATGTATGTACTGGTATTTCCACTTGATTAGTGTTGTTTTTCCATTGGTTTGTTCATAGCTATCTCATGTATTTTTTTCTATATAGAAGTCACTAAGGCAACTGCATCTATGCCTAGGCTTGTGTAAATTGGAATATAATGGATAGTACAAGCCTGAGCAGCAATTGCTTTATTCCAAACATGCTAATATGTAGTGTTGGTTGGTCTTCCACCCCAAGTCTAACCACAAGAATCCACGATATACAATTATGAGTGAGCTCCTCCCTTCGAACCTATTTTCTATAGCATTATATCATCGATTGATTCCATTGGGTACTTATTTTCTATAGCATTATATTGGGTAATTATGTCCATCAAAACTTGGAACAGTTGAGCTCTTTGTTCTTGTCTGCTCTTGGAATTGAACCAAAAAAATCATAGTTCAACCCATCACTGATCACGCATGGGCAAGGCCAGCCACACCTTCGGTGCCTATTGGAATTTTCAAGACTATCCGTCATGAGAAAAAGCAATAAAAATCAAAATCAAAATGGCGGAAAATCTAACAAAAGGATTTCAAGTGTTTATGAGCACGGGACAAAACCTTAAATGGGAGAAGAACAAAATACGTTGATTCATATAAAAAGCAAATTCAGCCTCTGTTTGGTAAGGCACATGTTATACCGCCCACAGGCGAAGAAAAGAAGTATTTGACTACATTTTATTAAACCAAATAAATAAGCCAAGTATTGCACAAATGAGCCTCACTGGGTACACCAATTACTGAAAAGAGGGTAAAAGCAACCAACAGAGACAGATGTTTGTCCTCGCTGTATTCATCAATCTGTCAACAGAATGCAAGAGGATGAGTTAAAATATACCGCATAAGGTACGTCCATATGTCTACCTATCAACAGTAAACTAGAGTGCTCAAAACATAATTCTCAAATCTCAATTCATATTCATTTCACCTACGAGTGGGGCATTTTCCAAACTCAATTAGTATATCTGGACAACTAAGCTAGCCACAATAAATAATGTTGTGAGACTGCCGTATCATACAATTGTATGCAATAGCTGGTTTCGAGTATTATATGAAGTAAGCTAGTTCTCAAGCTCAAACAATACACATGACATGCCCCAAGCGAAGATAGAGCTCAGGAACATCATCCACAATTCACAGTTTCACACTACTAACCTGACAAGATTAGTTTGATTATCCAAAATTAGTTATTCTAAGAAAACAAGCTACACAATTTTCATGGACCCACAAATATGCCCCCAAGCAAGATAAGAGGTCAGGACATCATGCACAATTCACACTAATGACCTGACAAGAGCACTTTGATTATCCAAAATATAGTTGCTCTAAGAAAACATGCCATATAATTCTCATGGTTCCACAAATAGCTCCATTTCTTTATGACCCTGGTCCTTATGTATAGAAAAGCATTTTCAAGCATGAAATACTAATCAGCATTGTTAAGTTGTCTCACTGCGACCATCTTCAGTTAACTTGCACCAACAACCACAACAGATCCTGATCTTAAAAAATCAATCATGCACCTTACCAGCTACGACCATATACAGTCTAAGTTTAAGTTCCAAGCTAACTGGGTTTGGCTTAATATATTTTCACTATCCATTATCCTCTCATTTAGAAACATCTCGTGCTAATATTCTCAAGTTTTCCAACTCCATAAGTTATCTACATCTTTATTCCCACATACAAATAGCTCATCAGGTAGTATTGGACTAATTTTATCCTACAAACAAGACTAAACATCAATCTCTAACTAGTTGGCCATTTTTTTTATTATGCTATATTTTTTGCTTAGTTTATCTGTAATTACTATTTTCTTTTTATGTTATTTAGGTCCAACTTGTCATGTCCAATGCCTTCAGCAACCATAAATTCACACCTATTTAAGGTGTGTCAGATAATTTAAGATAGACATGGCTTAACCACCTCAATACTCCAGAGTGAGTGTGATATTCACTTATCTTATCCTTTATGTGTCTTGTCAAAACTATTCATTTTACCTCGTGTAATCATGTATGACAACAAACCCATTTAAACATTCACCTTAGAAGCCCAACATTCCTTATATAACATTGTTTCCTTTTTTTTTTTTTTTTTTTTTGATTTTGCACCGGGTGTCCGAGTCTCTTTGAGCCCCGACTAATCCCGGGGGTGCAAAATATAACATTGTTTCTTTACAACCATTCCACAGGGACTCGCTTTTCACTTCTTTTTTTTTTTGAACTTGGTAAGGTTGTATTATATCACAAAACGCATGTACTGAAACCTTATATACAAAAGCCCCAAATTCTTACTGCTCTATGGCTAAATTGAGTCTAAAACATCAATTATAGAGACAATATCATTTGAGTATAACTGATTACACCAAAAACATAATAGCAAAATGCAGTTGAGCTTCACTTTCTGCACACTATTTTCTATGTTCTCAAAACACCTAGAGTTCCTCTCTTTCCATATTGCCCACCATATTGAAGCAGGGATAAGTCTCCATCTGCCTCTGTCTTTTGCCAGTACTCCTGCTTCCTCCCAGCTCTTTAAAGCCTCTGAAACTTTCCCAGGCATAGTCCAGGAGATGCCTTTGTGACTCAAAAAAATCCTCCATAATTGTTGAGTGTACTTGCAGCGTAGAAACAGATGATTTACATTCTCTAAAGTCTCCCCACAGAGAAGGCATCTAGAGCATAAGGTTATCCCTCTCTTCATGACATTGTCTTGAGTAAGAGCTGCTTCATTGGCCAACTACCAGACAAAGCAAGATACTTTGTAGGGTATTCTGCTTTTCCATATTTGTTTCCATGGCCAATTTTTAATTTGTTGGTTTGTCTGATCCATTAGCTTATAAGCTCTACTAACTTTGTATACTCCTCCATTGTTTCCTGTCCACCATAGAACATCATTCCCTGTTTGAAGTCCATTGAAAGGCTCCACTGTGTTAAGAAAATCAGCTACTCTTTGAACCTCCCAGTCATTTAGATGTCTTCTGAAGTTGAAATTCCACCCCTGTAGTGTCCATAAATCTGCTATAAACCCTTGCTGAAATGTAACTAAGTTGTAAAACATCAGGAAATAACTCTTCCAAGTTGCCTTTCTCATGCCAATTATCCTTCCAAAACATGGTCTTTCTCCCATCAAAAACTTTCACCTTTGAGTTGTTCTTCACTTCATCCCATAGATTCCTAATGGATCTCCAAAGGTTGACTCCATAAGGAGTAGTCACCTCTTTGGTCATCCATTTGTCTTCTGGTATATATTTAGCCTCAATCACCCTTTCCCACAACAATTGGTTACCATTTGCATACTTCCATAACCATTTCATTTGAAGAGCTTTACTTTGCAAGTTTAGGTTCTTAATCCCCAGACCACCATTTTTCTTCCCAGTTATCACTGATTTCCACTTTACCAAGTGAAATCCTTTCTTTTCCTTATTGCCTTGCCACAAAAATTTCCTTCTAATACTGTCCAGCCTCTTGGTGACCCCTAGTGGGATAGGAAAAAGGGTCATCATGTAAGTTGGAAGAGCATCAAGTACTGAATTGATTAGTGTCAATCTTCCACCCATAGACAAGTATTGTGTTTTCCACCTGGCTAGTTTTTTTTCACACTTCTCGATCACATTGTTCCATATATCTATGGACATAGATTTGGCTCCTAAAGGTAATCCCAAGTATGTAGCTGGCAGAGTGCCAACTTCAACTCCAAGGATTGTTGCTAACCAACTCACGTTGTTGACTACATTAATAGGGGGGTACATTAAACTCTTTCTCCAGTTGATATGTAGACCAGTGACCCCTTCAAAAAGAACCATATCAGTCTTAAGTGCTTTAGTTGTCACTTGGATAAGTATCTTCTTATCGCATAAAACTTGAATTAGTACTTCTCCACAACAACAACCCAATTTTAATTCTATATGTTGCATCTTTATACCATTCTACTAGAACATGAACCTAGACATTAGTTGTCTCCATTTAAGCACCAGAATCCCATCTAACGAACACTCTGCTCAGCAAAAGCAGCACTGCTACTAATCAAAAAGCTTAGAATGCAAATTCTCATACAAGAGAATTACATTTACCATAAACTTATAAAATAATGATGGCAACCAAGGACTACTTTCACAATTTCTTGGCAATAATTTACATATACTTTAGTTCTTTGTTGGCATGTTACACTTTCTCTATTATTTGCTATCCTTGTTTTACCTGTGTTGTCTTTTTCAAACTGCCTTGTTATGTGTTCGTACACTCTACCTCTCCCGAACTCCAATTGGGCAAATACACCGCTATGTTGTTGTAATTTTACATTGATTTTCGCAATTTCTGAATACTCTTTCCAATATTTTATCTCACAAACTCATCTTAACTTCATAATTACAGATAGAGCATTAGCAATATCCAATTATAAGATCAAATCATCCTCAACATAAGGTGATTACGTTGACCATCTAAATAAGTCCCTTTAACCTACAGATCCGTTACATAAATGGATCAGAAAAGTTGCAATTCCATAGATAGAGCTCATAATCAGTGTTAAACTATAGGGTACCTTAGAAAATCGGAGCGACAATCAATGTCCGCCGCCGTGCTGTTTGTGCTCGAGGTGACGTCGCTCTTCTGGAAGGGCGACGAGGTAGGAGAATATCATGCCTCCGAAGCAGACATGGAGAAGAGGATCAACGGAGCTGGTTTCGATGTACTTAGCATGGTAGTTATCCAAACCCTTCCTGATAGCATTCTTCGCGTAACCGATTGAGAGCATCGGCTTTAGGTGCGCCGGCACCTCCTTCAGCTTCAATCCCTTCATCTCCTTGTACAAATTTCTCAAAGCCATTTTTCCGGCAAGTTTTTTGCTGAGATCTGAAACCCTAATCCCCTTGTAGTTGTGGTTGCTCTGTCAGTCTTCCCGGAGTATTTGACTTTCTCTTTCTGTAGATGCGTATAGTGAAAAAAATAAAATTACTTCTCAATGCTTATATGTGAAGCGACTAATGGGTTGGGCCCAATATAAACATTTCTTCTCATTTTTACATTTTAACCTTGTATATATTGTATCATTTGATCTACGACAATGGAAAGAAGGCATTATCTATATAATAATTTTGTTATAATGGATTTCGTGAATCTCACACATTTTATATCAATAAAAGGCATATGTATAAAATAATCTTGTTATAATTGATTTTGCTAATCTCACACATTATAAGAATAAAATCATAACGATAAATTGTGATTAGATGAAAAGTTGAATATTAAGTTTGATAGTGATTGAAACGTTAATTATCATCAAATAACTTTGAACTTTTTGAATATATCCTTCGGATATACGATTATCCAATATGAAAAAATCAGACACAAGACCAAGTTTTCTAGAAGTTATGGTTTGTCAAGGTTGTCACCAATTGATTTGGAGTTGGGTATGAGTTTTTTCTGTATAGTTAAATAGTCTTTGCCCCAATGACTTTATTTAACACCAATATAATATTATCTTATTTTTAGTTCAACATATATCAAACACACCACAACAATAACAACACACCCATATAATTTCACATATATTAATAAAATTATATTTTTCTATTATTTAATTTTCACTAATAAAATGTCCCTTAATGATATCAAAGTCTTCGACAAAGATATCGGCCCAAGAAATGTAGTTAAGCCCAGCCCAATTTATACACCGCCAAAATTTTGCTCTAATAAATTGACCGGAAGCCCTTTTCTTGCGTCAAATTACCGGCAATCCCCAAAAAGCGAAAGTTCCTCGTTCCTTCCTTATCGGTATTTGCTTATCTATTTATACAATTGCCTAATTCCTCTCATTTCTAATGGCCCGCTCCATCGCTCAAGCCCTAAATTTGATCCGAACCACCACCGTCACCGCCTCATACACCACCCGAAATGCTCTGCTACGGGTAGCTTCTAGGAGCGAGTCCACTCAGGCCGACAGGAACACCGGATCTGACACCCCGGAGACAGAGGCGGAGGCGCTGGCGGTGCAGAGGATTGAGGAAGCGATTCACCGGATCATAGTACGGCGATCGGCTCCCGATTGGCTTCCGTTCCGTCCTGGTGCATCTTACTGGGTTCCACCTCGACGTAGTTCATACGGTGTTGCTGATCTCGTTCACAAGCTCGCTAATACGCTCACGGAAGAGGAAATTATGTCTCTCGCTACGTTCCGTGGCTGGCCTTCATCTAATTTCTATCTTGATGATGGTACTTAACACTCTACCTTTCCTTCGTATTTCATGATGAATTTTCTTGCGAAGTTGTACATTAATCGCAACAATTGGATATAGTCGACCTTGATTTTCATTTTAATGGATCCTGAATTCGACTCATAGGAGATCTCTATGTCTGGACCTTTCCTTCGTGTTTCATGATGAATTTTCTTGCTTTACATTAATCGCAACAATTGCATATAGTCGACCTTGATTTTCATTTTAATGGATCCTGAATTCGACTCATAGGAGATCTATATGTCTGGAAAGATCGTGCGTTCGATTTTCTTACTGCAGGGGAGGGTGATTAAATTACTGCTGCGTTTGCTGGATGGGATTAGGATGTTTTACCGGAACTGAGATATAATTTTGAGCGTCTTATGTGCATGACTTAATCATTTGTAGATAGGGGCTTTGTATAGCTGTGGTCCTTGTCCAACCCTTTTTTGGTTCCGTTGAGGAGAAGTTGCTTCCCTCTGTTGTTCCAGTATGCTATTCTGCTTGCTATCTGCAATTTGGTTTCACTGCGGCATGTTTGTTGAGCTAGGCAGAAGTTCTATTGTGTGATGATAAAAATGTACTGCACTGTTACCCTGTCTGATTAGTGCAGTGTGGTATGTGTAGAAAGTCTGACCCTGGCCATAGAGCTTTCCTTTATTCAACAAAAGAGAGAACTATCCCTCAAAGAAGTTTCGTTGATAATCTCACATAGGATACATTTGTGTTGTTTTGGAGCACTTGTAGTTTGAAGAGATCTCCCTGAGTTAGAGTTATCCCAATGCTGTTTATGTATAATGATTGCCTTATGTGCCGTTTGAATCATCATTGGGCTGCGTTCTTTATTTTTTCTCTCCACTTAATACCAAGCTTTTATGGTTTACACAAATGTTACAGTAGGTTTAAGACCACATGTTTCAAAAGTGTTACCTTTCTTTTGCTAAATCCTTTTTCAGTCAATAGGGTCACATAAAATGGAATAGAGAGTATTATTTTGTTTCTCTTGTACTTTTGTGAAAAAATGGTTTAACCATCTGGCATTTTCAAGAGTCTGGTTGATTTGTTCATGATAATATATGCGCTAGAACATTGTTGTTTCTCTTGAAGGTACAAAATTTGTGCAAGTGTTTTATCATGAACCTAAGGCTGTTCTATACAATTAACTATTATTTTTGTTACAGTCAGGGGACAAGTTTGCTCATGTACTCTCTCTCACTGTCTCATTTTTTTTTATTTTTGCTGTTTCAGACAAGTGTAATGTGGCCAAAAAAGAAATCCAGTCTGAGGACGAGGAAGTTTAAATGCAAGCATGGGCATGAATGGGGAAAGCAACTGGTTCTCCATTGCCATTGTTAAGGTGGGTTAGAGCTTAAGAATTACTGTCGAAATGGCCACATGCAAATTTTAGTCCTCATTAGCTTGGAGGGTTAGGTTGCACATCGTAAAACATCTTGTTATCTTTTGCTGAACTCATTCTTGATTCAGTTAGTGTTTGGTAGACCTATGCACACACTTGTATTCTACGAATGCCTCGAGATCTGTCTTATGCCTTTGTATAGAATTCCACAGTGGCCACTGGGGTGGCTGTTGCAAGTTACTCAAATGTCTCTTCTTGTATTTGCAGGTTTACAAATTTCTGTACATAATGTAGCTGAACAGAGAGTATTGGGGAAGCATTTCCAAGCTGGAATATGTACATATAAGCTTCCTGTCATATTTCTTTTCTACTAAAAGAGTAGTATCTTGTCGAATGTACAGTGTAGGTTTATTTTGTTTTGCACTAATCCAAATTTCCTGGTTTAAGGTAATGGGTATTTCTGAATACAAGCTAGCTCTTTGCTATGTTTCCGTTTTTTAGGTCACACCTTAACCTCATTAGGAAGCGGAGTTGGATATGCCCTAGTTATTGTAATGTTATCATATAATATCAGCTTTTGTAAATACTTGAAATAAATTTTGGTTGTCCATTATTTGCTTCTTGTTCTTACCTTTTCTATACTTGGGCAATAGCCAAGAGCTCAGATTGTCTTTTTCTTTGTTGCAAGAGAAACAGAACCTGTATTTCATGGTGAGAGTGGGAAAGGAAGCAAGTGCATTTCTTTAGTCTCTTCCTGTGTTGCCAATTTACTGATTGTTCGATTGAACGGGAGCTCCTAGTAATTGCCTGTTTGTCTATTGTTGGATCGGATTGGAGCTCCTAGCAAATTTCTCCTCTGCTATCCTAGTTATCAATTTACTTATGTTTAACCTGAGAAGTTAACTAAACGTTCTAATTGGATGGAAGTAGCCATATATTTATGTAGGTTGCACAAATTTAATAGCAAATCTGGTCGTTTGCATTTGATAACAAAGTAAGAAATGCTTCTTGATGGGATGTTCCAATTATACATGTGTAAGTTTGAGAGAAGTGAATAAATGTAAAATGTAGCTCCCCGTCGCGTATGGCGGAGCCTTGATAAGCTCTCAGCACAGCATGGGACAAAGAATAAGATGGAAGTTCAATTGACAAGAAAAATTGCTTGTGCCTTCTTCATTGTCAAAGTTCAGTTTGATCTCTGTCAAGATGACTGCCTTTTTGCACTGACTTATATGTTATAGCAGCTCGAAGAATTTCTAACTGTGGCAGCATTACGAATATATTTACTAGTATCTGTCAGGGCAGAGCATAGCTTTAACTTGGTTTGATAGGAAAGCACTGCAACTCGAATGCAGAGATCAGCAAGAGTTGCATACCTATGATTGAATGACAGTTTTTTTAATTGAATCAGTGAATATGTTACAAACTCATACACGATGAGTAAGACTGAAAGCTGATGAAAACGTTTGCATGGTTCTTTTCTTTAGAAGGGGTCATGTATTGCATTTATTAGCTTGGTATAAACACCCAGTACTTACACAAGCTCTGGGTCTTATGATCTTGTTATTTGCTGTGTCTGAAATTAGTTGAGATCAAGTCCACTTTGGTCTCCCAATATTCCATTATGATTGACATTGTAATTCCCATATCAAACCTTCCAAATTCATGCAATCTCATCGTGATTGAACAGTGACTTATTTCAAAGGACATGAATAGCAATTTCTAATCATGGCGATTGAGAAGGTGCACAGAGGTCAAAGGTTTCAACTTTCAATCAACCCTATGGTTAAATTTGCAAAGTCTAATCGAGGACAACAAATTCCAGAAACATGCATTATAGACCTTTATTACAAGTTATTGCACATCTGATAACAACAAAACGAAGACCAGTGCGCTACATACCCAAGTGATAAGAATGCTTAGGTACACTTTGCTGTCACCTTTAATTTTCAAGTCTGATGATAAAGAGAGGACTGAAACTGTATAAATTCACCTAAACGACCCCTTAACTTACCGTGTTACTAAAATAAATTGAGTTACACCAACTAAACAACAAATTTAAGGCGCCGAGCCAAGCACCTTCCCATTTTTACTTATCCAACTCTAGGATCCAAACGACCATTTCAGCGTGGACAACAGCACACAACTGATTCAGCGAAAACGCTACTTTGGAGCTGGTTGGACCCGTCCAAGAACTGGAATACATCAACTGAAATGAGGACTTACCGAGTTTCATCCTCAAGGTTGCGGAAACCAGCAGTCAAATCATCATGAAGCTTCTTAAACTTGGCTACCAAAGCATCCTCTCCTTCGGCTGGATCCT